GGGGATTTTTGGGGTCACCATGACCTTCCAAGAACCTCCATGGACTTTGGGATCACCATGAATGGTCCCTACAGGATTTTTGGGGTGTCCCACCCCCTCCCCATGGATTTTTGGGGTGTCCCAAAATTCCTGGAGAAGCTCCAGGTGGGTTTTGGGGTCACCATGACCCTCCAAGAACCTCCATGGATTTTGGGGCCACCATGGATGGTCCATAGAGGATTTTTGGGGTCACCATGGATGGTCCCTATGGGACTTTTGGGGTCCCCCGGGACCCCTCCCATGGATTTTTGGGGTGTCCCCACCTCCTGGAGAAGATCCCCATGGATTTTGGGGTCACCATGGATGGTCCCTATGGGATTTCTGGGGTCACCTTGACCCTCCAAGAAACTCCACGGATTTTGGGGTCACCATGGATGGTCCCTATGGGATTTTTGGGGTCACCTTGACCCTCCAAGAACCTCCATGGATTTTGGGGTCACCATGGATGGTCCCTATGGGATTTTTGGGGTATCCCCAGCTCCTGGAGAAGCTCCCCATGGATTTTGGGGTCACCATGGATGGTCCATAGGGGATTTTTGGGGTCACCATGACCTTCCAAGAACCTCCATGGACTTTGGGATCACCATGAATGGTCCCTACAGGATTTTTGGGGTGTCCCACCCCCTTCCCATGGATTTTTGGGGTGTCCCAAAGTCCTGGAGAAGCTCCAGGTGGGTTTTGGGGTCACCATGACCCTCCAAGAACCTCCATGGATTTTGGGGCCACCATGGATGGTCCATAGAGGATTTTTGGGGTCACCATGGATGGTCCATACGGGATTTTTGGGGTGTCCCACCCCCTTCCCATGGATTTTTGGGGTGTCCCAAAGTCCTGGAGAAGCTCCAGGTGGGTTTTGGGGTCACCATGACCCTCCAAGAACCTCCACGGATTTTGGGGCCACCATGGATGGTCCCTATGGGATTTTTGGGGTCCCCCAGTTCCTCCCCCTGGATTTTTGGGGTGTCCCCACCTCCTGGAGAAGATCCCCATGGATTTTGGGGTCACCATGGATGGTCCCTATGGGATTTCTGGGGTCACCTTGACCCTCCAAGAAACTCCACGGATTTTGGGGTCACCATGGATGGTCCCTATGGGATTTTTGGGGTCACCTTGACCCTCCAAGAACCTCCATGGATTTTGGGGTCACCATGGATGGTCCCTATGGGATTTTTGGGGTATCCCCAGCTCCTGGAGAAGCTCCCCATGGATTTTGGGGTCACCATGGATGGTCCATAGGGGATTTTTGGGGTCACCATGACCTTCCAAGAACCTCCATGGACTTTGAGGTCACCATGGATGGTCCACAAGGGGATTTTTGGGGTGCCCCCACCTCCTGGAGAAGATCCCCATGGATTTTGGGGCCACCATGGAGGGTCCCTATGGGATTTCTGGGGTCACCATGACCCTCCAAGAACCTCCACGGATTTTGGGGCCACCATGGATGGTCCCTATGGGATTTTTGGGGTCCCCCAGTTCCTCCCCCTGGATTTTTGGGGTGTCCCCACCTCCTGCAGCAGGTCCGCCTGCTCGATGGCCTTGAGGACGCTCTTCTTGGAGGTGTCCTGGATCTCACCACCCATCACGAACTCGTCCAGGATGAAGTAGGCCTTCTCGAAGTTGAAGATGATGTCCAGCTCACACACCTGGCCAGGAGGTCACCGGGCACTTGGGGACACCTCGGGATACCCCCAAATTTGGGGTGGGGCAGGTTATGGGGTGGGGGTGGGGATAGGAGACATTGGGTGGCTCCTGGTGGCACTTGGGGTCCTTATTGAGAACTTTGGGGTGGCCCTGGTGGCCTTGAGGGGCTCCTGGAGAACTTTGGGGTGGCCCTGGTGGCCCTGGGGTCTTCATGGAGAACTTTGGGGTGGCCCTGGGGTCCTCATTGAGAACTTTGGGGTGGCCCTGGTGGACTCCTGGTGGCCTTTGTGGTCCTTGGGGTCTCTCTGGAGAACTTTGGGGTGGCCCTGATGGCCTTGAAGGTCTCTTGGTGGCCACTTGGGGTCTTCCTGGAGAACTTTGGGGTGCCCTTGGTGGTCCTGGGGTTCTCCTGGTGGCCATTGGGGGAACACCCAGGTGGGTTCTGGTGGCCCTGGTGACCCTGTGGTGACCTTGGGGCGTCCCAGGTGACCTTGGGATGCTCCTGGTGATCCTGGGGTGGCCCTGAGATGTTTCTGGTGACCCCAGGGTGTCCCTGGTGACCCTGAGATGTTTCTGGTGACCCTGTGGTGACCCTGAGATGTTTCTGGTGACTCCAGGGTGTCCCTGATGACCCTGAGATGTTTCTGGTGACCCTGAGATGTTTCTGGTGGCCCCAGGATGTCCCCAGGGTGTCCCCCTGGGCCGTGTCCCCACTCACGCTGCCGAAGTACTTGTCCAGCAGCTCCACGTAGCGGTGGATGAGCTCCAGCGTGATCAGCTCGTTGTCCTGGCCCTCGATGGCGCAGCAGAAGTAGAGGCTGGCGTACCTGGGGGACAACATCGGGGTGGGGATGTCCTCTGGGCCACCAAAACCCACCGGGGCGCCGGGACGTGGCCCCAAGGAGGTCCCAGATGGCACCATGGTCAACCCAACCATGGTCAACCCATCATGGTCAAGCCAATCATGGTGAGTCCATCATGGTCAAGCCAATCATGGTCAAGCCAATCATGGTCAACCCAACCATGGTCAGTCCAAGCATGGTCAACCCAACCATGGTCAACCCATCATGGTCAATCCAACTATGGTCAATTCATTGTGGTCAACACAATCATGGTCAACCCAATTGTGGTCAACCCATCATGGTCAATCCAACCATGGTCAATCCAACCATGGTCAACTCATCATGGTCAACCCAACTGTGGTCAACCCATCATTGTCAACTTGACCATGGCCAACCCATCATGGTCAATCCAACGGTGGTCAATACAACATGGTCAACTCATCACGGTCAACTTGACCATGGTCAACCCAGTCTTGGTCAACTCATGACAGTGAGGACATCATGGTCCACCTGATCATGTTCAACCCATCCTAGTCAACCCAACCATGGTCAACCTAACTGTGGTCAATCCATCACTGTCAACTTGACCATGGTCAACCCAAGCATGGTCAACCTATCTTGGTCAGTCCAAGCATGGTCAATTCATTATTGTCAATGCAACCATGGTCACCTCATCGTGGTCAACCCAACCATGGTCACCTCATTGTGGTCAACCCATCATGGTCAATCCAACTGTGGTCAATATAACATGGTCAACTCGATCATGGTCAACCTAACCATGGTCAGTCCAAGCATGGTCAATTCATTATGGTCAATGCAACCATGGTCACCTCATCATGGTCAACACATCATGCTCATCATGGTCCACCTGATCATGGTCAGCTCGATCATGGTCAACCCATCATGGTCAACCCAACTGTGGTCAACTCATGATGGTCAACCCATCATGGTCCATCTGATCAAGATCAACCCATCATGGTCAACCCATCATTGTCAACTTGACCAGGGTCAACCCACCATGGTCAACCCAACCATGGTCAACTCATGATGGTCAACCCATCATGGTCCACCTGATCATGGTCAACCCAACCATGGTCAACCAAACCATGGACAACCCAACCATGGTCAACCAAACCATGGTCAACCCAACCGTGGTCAACCAAACCATGGACAACCCAATGTGGTCAACCAAACCATGGACAACCCCACCGTGGTCAACCCAACCACGGGACGGTTTGGGGGGGACAAAATTGAGGTGGGAGGTCCCCTGGATCTCCAAAGTCCACCTGAGGAGAAGCTTTTTTGAGGGAAAAAATTTGGAATTTGGGGTTTTATGGAAAAAGTGGATTTTTTAGGAGAGAAGGTGGATTTTTTTGGGGGGAAAAGTTGCAATTTTGGGGGAAAATGTGGATTTTTAGGGGAAAAAGTGGATTTTTTTCGGGGGAAGATGGATTTTTTAGGGAAAAAAAGAGAATTTTGGGGAGGAAAACGTGGATTTTTCTGGGGAAAATTGGATGTTTATTGCGGAAAATATTTTTTGTGGGGAAAGAAGAAAAGTTTGGGAGAGAAGTTGCTTTTTTTTGGGGAAAAAGGCTTTGTT